TATCAGAGTATGAGGCCCGATTCCACGAGCTCTCCAGGCATGCCGCCATGATATTACCTACTGAGGAAGAGAGGGTTCGTTGTTTTGTTCGGGGTTTGAGACTACAGTTGCGGATTGAGACTCAGTCTTTAGTCTCAGCGGGCCGCTCATTTCTGGATGTAGTGGACCATGCCCGCACTATCGAGCAGCTCCATCGCGAGGCCCAAGCGGGCAGCGGCAAGAGAGCTAGACAGGAGGATAGTTATGATAGACGCCGTTTCAGACCCCGAGAGTCTTATGATAGATCTCAGCAGAGGTTTCAGTCAGGTCAGTCTAGTATCCCCTTCCAGGCTTCTCTCCAGGCATCAGAGGGTGATCAGCACCGCCATATTGGTTTTAGTGTCGGTCCTAGTCGGGGCCGAGATAGTTCACAGATGGGTTCTTCTGGCCGGGGTAGCCGACCTCCAGCTCTCAGTCGACAGTCCCAGGGGTGTTATGAGTGTGGGGAGTTAGATCATTGGGCCCGCGAGTGTCCCCATCGCTGGTTAGCCTTACCCGCTCCACAGGCAGTTAGGCATGCGCCAACACCTCCAGCTAGAGGCAGAGGCCAGGGACAGGACCGTAGGGGTGGTCACCAGGGTATACGGGTGGTCCCCGAGGAGGCAGATTAGGGGGCAGAGCCGATGCACAGGGTAGGGGAGTCCAGGCCCACTTTTATGCAGCTCCAGCTAGAGCAGATGCGGAGTCCTCGGACGATGTGATCACAGGTACAGTGTTATTATGCCAGCAGCCCGCCTTGGCTTTATTTGATCCAGGCTCTACTTTTTCGTATGTTTCTGTTTACTATGCCTCTCGATTGAGTATGATGTCTGAGCCTCTGGTAGGCCGTTGCGTGTGTCGACCCCCGTGGGTGAGTCTTTAGTAGTGGATCAGGTATTTCGATCTTGCTTAGTTACTATCCAGGGGCGTGACACCCGGGCTGACCTTATATTGCTTGACATGGTTGATTTTGATGTGATTCTGGGCATGGATTGGTTATCCCCTTATCGCGCTGTTTTAGATTGCTTTCTAAGACTGTTACCTTAGCCATTCCCGGTATTCCTCCGGTGGTGTGGCAGGGATCTCGTGGTAGCACACCAGTTGGGGTTATCTCTTTTATTCGTGCTAGGAGGCTAGTGGCTAGTGGATGCTTATCATATTTGGCCTATGTACGTGATGTGAGTAGGGAGGTTCCTCCGGTTGAGTCAGTTCCTGTTGTTCGTGACTTCATGGATGTGTTTCCTACTGATCTACCTGGCCTACCCCAAGAGCGTGATGTTGATTTTCCGAATGAGCTTGGGCTAGGTACTCGGCCTATTTCTATTCCGCCATATCGGATGGCTCCTGCAGAGCTCAAGGAGCTCAGTGTTCAGCTTCAGGATCTCTTGGGTAAAGGATTCATTCGCCCTAGTGTATGCCTTGGGGTGCCCCAGTCCTCTTCGTGAAGAAGAAGGACGGTACTATGCGATTGTGTATTGACTACAGGCAGCTGAACAAGGTGACGGTGAAGAACCGTTACCCCATGCCTCGTATTGATGATTTGTTTGATCAGCTTCAGGGTGCCGTGGTATTTTCTAAGATTGATTTAAGATCCGGCTACCACCAGTTGAGGATTAGGGCAGCGGACGTCCCTAAGACCGCATTTAGGACTCGTTATGGCCATTATGAGTTCTTGGTGATGTCGTTTGGGTTGACTAATGCCCCTGCCGCCTTCATGGACT